AACTCTTCTTCTACCTTCTTTATTCATTACCCAGCTTGCACATGCAAATGAGGTGATTGAAAATCCCATGGCTTGGGTTAGGCACACCTTAGTCTCCAAAGAGACATCTTTGCTCTTCAGCACTTTAAAGAGGTCTTCTGCAGCAGATTTGCCCAGTGCAATATGTCATCTGATTTCTTAACTGCTACTTCCATTGATTGTTATTGATTGTGGAACCAAGTAATATGAAGTCTATGACAACTTCCATCTTTTCTCCATTTATGATGATACTGCTTATGGTCCAGTTGTGAGGATTTTAATTTTCTTTATGTAGAGATGTAATCCATACTGTAAACTGTAGTCTTTAATCTTCATCAGTAAGTGCTTCAAGTCATCTTCACTTTCAGCAAGCAAAGTTGTGTCATCTGCATATCACAGGTTGTTAATGAGTCATCCTCCAATCCTGATGCCACACTTTTCTTCATATAGTTCAGCTTCTCAGATTATTTACAAGGTATGCAGAGTGAATAAGTATAATTGAAAAGATACAACAACCCTGACACACTCCCTTACTGATTTTAAACCATGAAGTATCCCCTCATTCTGTTCGAATGACAGCCTCCTGGTCTATGAACAGGTTCCTCATGAACAAAATTCAGTATTCTGGAATTCTCATTCTTCTAAATATTATCCATAATTTGTTATGATCCACACCACACAATCAAATGCTTTTGCATAGTCAATAAAACACAACTAAACATCTGTCTGGCATTCTGTGCTTTTAGCCAAGATCCATCTGGCATCAGCAATGATGTCCCTCATTCCACGTCCTCTTCTGAATTCAGCTTGCATTTCTGGAAGTTCTCTCAGTATACTGCTGTAACCGTTTTTGAATTATCTTCAGCAAGATTTTACTTGCATGTGGTATTAATGATACTGTTTGATAATTTCCACATTCTGTGGAATCTCCTTTCTTTTGAATAAGTACAAGTTTGGATCTCTTCCATTCATTTGGCCAGATATCTGTCTTCCAAATTTCTTGGCATAGATGAGTGAGTGCCTCCAGCGTGGCATCCTTTTGTTGAAATATCTCAGTGGGTAGTCTGTCAATTCCTGAAGCCTTGTTCTTTGCCAATGCCTTCAGTGCAGCTTTGACTTCTTCCTTCAGTACCACTGGTTCTTTATCATATGCTACCTCCTGAAATAGCTGAACATTGACAATTCTTTTTTGTATATTGATTCTGTGTATTTCTTCCATCTTCTATTGATGCTTCCTGCATCATTCAATATTTTGCCCATAAAATCTTTCAGTATTGCAACTCGAGGCTTGAATTTTTTCTTCAATTCTTTCAGCTTAAGAAAAGACAAATGTGTTTTCTCTTTTGTTTTTTTTAACTCCAGGTCCTTGCACATTGCATTATAGTAATTGTCTTTGTCTTCTCGAGTTGTTCTTTAAAATCTTCTGTTCTGCTCTTTTATCTTGTTATTTCTTCCACTTTCTTTAGCTATCCTTGTTCAAGAGCAAGTTTCAGAGTCTCTTCTGACATCCATTTTGTTTTTTTCTTCCTTTCCTGTGTTTTTAATGACCTTTTGCCTTTTTCATGGATGATATTCTTGATGTCATCCCACAATTCCTCTCATTCAGTCATTGTTGTTCAGTGGTGAACAACAAATTCAGGAGGTAAAATTTAGGAGGGATATAATCAAGGTCATATTTTTACTCTCTTGGAGTTGTTTTAATTGTCTTCAGCTTCAACTTGAACTTGCATGTGAGCAGTTGATGGTCTGTTCCACAGTCAACTGCTGGCCTAGCTTTGACTGAAGGTATTGAGCTTCTCCATCACCTCTTTCCACAGATGTAGTTGATCTGATTCCTGTGTATTCCATCTAGTGAAGTTCACATGCATAGCCACCATTTATGTTGTTGAAAAAACATATTTACAATGAATAAGTCATTGGTCTTCCAAAATTCTATCATGCAATTCCCAGCATCATTTCTATAACCAAGGCCATCTTTTCCAACTACTGGTGATTCTTCTTTGTTTCCAACTTTTGCATTCCAATCACCGGTAATAATCAACACATCTTGATTGCATGTTTGGTTAATTTCAAACTGCAGAAGTTGGTAAAAATCTTCAATAGCCTGGTCTTTGGTTTTGGTGGTTGGTGCATAAATTTGAATAATAGTAGTATTAACTGGTGTTCCTTATAGGCTGTTCTGGTTACCTAGTTCCTCTTTAACAGAAAATACCACAAATGGGATGGCCTTAACAAACAGGAGTTTATTCTCTTACGGTTCAGGAGGCTAGAAGTCCAAGTTCAAAGTGCCAAGTTCCAGGGGCTGTGTGAAAGCCCCTCAACCTTGGGTTTCAGCTCTGCCTCTTGCTCCTGGCCCACTGAAGCTAGAAGCATCTGTTCACTCAGGCAGCTACTGGCTGCTGAGGCTAACAAGCCCAAGGTCAACAAATAAAATGGCACAGTCCCGATGTTACCAAACCACACAGCAGGCCATTAATTCAACTCCATTGAAAGTCCCAAGGTCAGTAGAGCATGGGAGGCTGCTGAACAACAACGCAGCTACATGCAGGGTCCAAACATGCTATAGACTAGAGACTGTTTCCAAAGCTGCTGCTTATGTACAGGAAGCAGACCACACACCCAAAGCAGCTACTCAGCTGCTTGTGGTAGATCCATGGAGTTGATTGCCAGTCTCATCATGGGGAATAACTATCACCAGCTGCCCAGCCACTCAGCCAGGCCCGACCAAGTTGACATACAACTTTAACTACCACATAGGCATATGGATATTATCCTATCACTGACAGCATTGTACTTCAGGACACATCTTGAAATAG